GCAGTAAGTTCCTCCCAGAGGACCGGAGAGCGCGGGGAGGATTGTATGTATAATAAATCTATTAACCATTCATCAATGTTTGGCGTCTCTTTTCGTTTCCACTTTTTTTGCAAAGTTAATTCTTGCTATTGAAATCCTATATAAGATTTGTTTCCACTTTTTCCTTGCCTGATGATTAGTTATTTTTTTTTCCTGTCATATTTAACAGGTACACTTCTGGGATTAATTTGAAGGGTCCCTTTTGTGGGTCCCTACCATGCCCCTAGACTGGGAGAAGCCCAATTGCCATGGACCAAGGCACCTGAAAGGTCACATCTGCATCTACAACAATTTGCAAATCAAAAGGGCTAAAGCCCAGGAGCTGCAAAGCAGAACATTTACACCCTCTGAATTCTGGAGACACAGAGATTTACAACCAGCTAAGAATAAGATAACATCAACATCCCATCTCCTCTCTTTGGGAAATTGTCTACTTCAAAGTCAACCTATCTGGAATCCTTTGATATACAATAATCAATCTTCGCCCCAGGCTATTTTCAGCCTATATAAAGACCTCCAAAATCTGTTTTCTGTGAGCTGGTTTTGGAAGGGAAGGGTGGAATCTCACTCCATCCCTGAAATTCCTCACCAGTATCACTGAGTGCATTTTTCCACAAGGAGTGCAGAGTTTCTAAGTAACTATTTAGTGTGTGAAACCTTTCTTACAGATCTCATGTATCCTCTGTGTATGTGCAGATGCAAACCACGGTCTCCAGAGTCATAGGGGGGTTGCAGACTGCCAGAAATAGTGCAAATGGAGTCCACTTTTAGGGTTAGGGTTAGGGAATCATGGGAACTGTATTTTATTGTGGCACCAGAGCTCTCTGACAGAGAAGGCTCAATGTCTCAGAAAAAAAAAACAATTCCCATGATTCCCTAGCACTAACCCTAACCCTAAAAGTGGACTCAATTTGCACTATTTCTGGCAGTCTGCAACCCCCCATAGTCCAACACTCAAACCACTACACCATGCTGATGTCTTACATAGGTAAATTCCCTTAAAGAAGTGGCTGGACATTTTTCTCCCGTGTGCAACCTCTGTATTAAGTTTGAGGTGGAGGAAGCAGAATTTACACACGTGAGACCATTGTGCATGTTTGTGCATTGCACACTGATCCAGATCAGCACACTGGGATGCATACTGAATGGCACGTCACAATTCACTACTTTCACAAGATGGGGTTATGCAACTGTTGTATCACTCTTAAGAGGAAAGCAATGGTATATGTGTAAATTTCTACATGTCCTCATCCATCTCCCTTCAACAATTTACCACGTCAAAGTACAGCGACATCCAAAATCCACAAAACAGTGATAGTTTATTTATTGGGACAACCAAATGCAAAAAATACATATTGCAAGCTTTCCAAGCTTCACCGGCTTCTTGTGAAATTTCCAAAGGATCCTGGATTCTTCATAAGGCAAAGATTTTTAACATGTATTTTTCTGCATTTTTTTGGCCCAATAAAGTATCACTGTTTTGTGGATTTTGGATGTTATTGTACTTTGCTACATGGCCAAAACATATGTTTTCCAAATCCATGTCTATAGCCTGTAGTGTCTCTAATAAGCCAGCAGAGGGTGCCATTGCTGTGTGCTGTCAGTGCTTTGTGTTTGTTGTTTTTTTAAACTGGTTTTAGCTATGTGTTTAATTTATATTAATAATATTTAATTATTTTGTTAAACTTTTGCAATCAGTGTTTTTATTACAGTCTTTTTATTATTGAAACCCGTCTTGGATCCCATTGTGGGAGAAAGCGAGGATACAAATCCTTGGAATAAAATAAATAAATAAATAAACTAAAGGGGAAATTTCAGCAGGGTTGCCCCATGCACAAGTGTAACGGGAAGGCAGATGATAGAATTAAGGCCTTGCTTCCCAAATAAAAATTCCCCACCACCACCACCACCATTGAACTAGTCCCCAGTTTTCTTGCATTGCAGAGAATGGGGCCATTAAAGTTCTTTGTTCACAGCTAGAACTCCAAAGTAAGATAGCAGGAAGGAACATATGCAGACGACACCATAGTACTAGCAGAAAACATCACAGATTTGGAACAATTATTCAGGAAGGTCAAAGATGAAAATGCAAAGGCAGGCTTACTACTGAACATAAAGAAAACATATCCAGGGATAGCTGTGTTGGCCATATAGGAAAGTACAGTGTCACCCAAAATCTGCCAAACAGTGATACCTTTATCAGACCAACCAAAATGCACAAAACACAAGTTGCAAGCTTTCGAAGCATCACTGGCTTCTTCATCAAGCAAAAGTGTTAGCAGTCATACAGGATGGGGGGAAATTAAGCTGATGTTAGTCACAGGCTTACATTCTGAAGATGTTTCACCTGAACTGAGAGCAGAAACATCTTCCAAATGTAGGCCTGTGACTA